GGAGTCTCCTTCTCTGGAGATATTCCAAACCTGCCTGGACACGATTCTGCCAGCATGAAAAACCTTTCTGTGCTCCAAGGGATTAAAGGAGGACAAGAGGTAGCCCCAGGAGCATTGATCACAGGAGGCAGCTGTGGGGAAGGACACTCAACACTGGTTGCCCACTTACTTCATTAACTGCTGATGCTGAGAGGAATTTGAGCCTTGTTGGCACAAGTTGTTGTAGAACTTCACATATTTTGATCTAATTAGGTGAGCACAATTCCAACCCTCCCCCTGGCAGGGGTGCTGTTATATAAATCAACTTTCAGGTGTCGTGGGGTACCTGGTGTGTCTAATTTAGCAATTTGTTTGCCAGAAGTGTGGTTTTAGAATCTTGGAATGCTTTGGGTTGGAAGGGAACTTAAAGATCATCCAGTGCCACCTCCTGCCATGGGCAGGGACACCTTCCACAAGACCTGGGTGCTCAGAGCCCCCTCCAACCTGGCCTTGGACTCTTCCAGGGATCCAGGGGCAGCCACAGCTTCTCTGGGCAACAATCATCACTTTTGCATGTCTAGAATTATAATACTGCAAATCTGAAGGTAGAAACCATTTTGCTGCCTTACAAGCAGATTTTATTGGTAACAATTTTCCTCATATTAGTTGAATCTGCACTTCTGTCAGTACCTTTATATCATAAACTGTGCCCATTGAAGGGCAGTTATTTCAACAAAACTCCTCCTCCTGCCTGAAATAAACCTCTGTGGATTCTCTGCAGAAAACTCTCGAAAAGTTCTTTGTGAAAATTCAATTTAATGTTGGATTAAACTTGAAACTTCCAATGCAGTGAGGCAAGGAAGCTGCTCAAACATCCCATACCTACACTGAGTAGCTGTTTGTAGATCAATGACCCTCTTCAGCTGCAAGAGCTGCTCTGCCTCCTGTCTTATCAGCACAAGTGTTCAGAGGAGCCCAAGGACAGAGCTCCCCTGCACATTTCTCACAGTGGTACCAAACAAACCACAGCAAACCCAAACCCCAACCAAACAATGGCATCCTGTGAGGGGTGTTTGCAGCCTGACCTTATCTCTGCCTCCCTCGTGCTCGAACAAGCTCGTCTGTGGAAATATTAACTGTCCCTTAGCAAAGCCAAGTCCAAGCAGAAGCCAGAGGATGTGACAATATAGAGCCACCAGGGATCAGAGACAATAAAGAGCCACCAATGCAAACAGAGTTTCAAGCTGCTGGTTTTCTCTTTGAAGAAGGAAGGAGCAACGTGGATGGGGGTGCCTGAGTTTGGGGGTGAGTCCAGCTTGGAAGGTGGAAATATGGCTTGGTTCAAGTAGAGTTTTAAGTCCTATGAGGGGCTGAGGGAGCTGGGGGGGCTCATCCTGGAGAAAAGGAGGCTCAGGGGGGACCTTCTGGCTCTGCAACTCCCTGACAGGAGGGTGGAGCCGGGGGGGGATGGGGTTCTGCTCCCAGGGAACAAGGGACAGGAGGAGAGGGAATGGCCTCAAGCTGTGCCAGGAGAGGCTCAGGTTGGACATCAGGAGACATTTTTTGCTGGAAAGGGTAGTCAGGCCTTGGAAGGGGCTGCTCAAGGAGGTGGTGGAGTGCCCATCCCTGGAGGTGTCCCAGGAAGGCCTGGCCGTGGCACTCAGTGCTCTGGGCTGGGGGACAAGGTGGGGATGGGGCACAGGGCGGGCTCCATAGGCTGGGAGAGCTTTTCCAACCTAAATGATCCTGTGATTCTGTCAGTATCCTGCTCCATGAGCCCCACCTCCTCCTCAGCAGCTGAGCAGCATCCATGGTCTCTTTTTTTTTTTCAGATTTGATCTGGCCTCTTTTGATGACTAAGGGAACAGGAAGATTACAGTTAAAGTACATAATTTTCATTTGATGTGACAGGTTAAAGCTATGTGCATTTAGAGCAGGCTTAGATTATTTTAGTTCAATTACAACACTGATTTAGGCCCTGACTCACTCTTTGAGGCCTGACTTCACGTCGACATATGTTGGCTTAAATTTACTGCTAATGAAATACAGGCATATATGTACATTACTCTGCTTAAATGCTTTGCTGGCGTAGGGGTGGACTCACACAGCAAACACAGTCCTGCATCAGAGGCTTAGAGAAGTAGATTGTGCTTGGGTTTGCTTTTTTTTTCCCCCCCAGCATAAAGATATCCCAGAGTTTATTTTCCCCCCTCTCGTGCCCCTCCCAGACATTGCCCTGTGTAATCTCCCAGCTCAGTGTGTGCTTTGCAGCGTGAGGTCCTGCCAGGGACTGAATGCCCTCAAGTCTCCCTGGCCCTGCTGGCAGCTGGGAAGGGTAAAAGCCCTGGAGAATCAAACTGCTAAAACTCACAGAGCAAGCTGGGAGCAGGAACTGCCGGCTGGAGGGACTGGAAACAGGCTTTAATAGGGATTGGCAATGGATTCTGCCCCTCTGCTGTGCTCTGGTGAGACCCCACCTGCAGTGCTGCCTCCAGCTGTGGGGTCCTCAACATTGGAAGGATGTGGAGATGTGGGAGTGAACCCAGGGGAGGCCACGAAGGTGATCAGAGGGATGGAGCATCTCTCCTGTGAAAGCAGGCTGAGGGAGCTGGGGGTAAAAGAGGTTTCAGGGAGACCTTTGAGCCCCTTCAAGTACCTAAATGGGTTACAAGAGAGCTGGAGAGGGACTTCTCCCAAGGGCCTGGAGTGATAGGACAGGGGGGAATGGCCTTAAGCTGAAGTAGGGAAGGGTTAGATTAGATATGAAGGAGAAATTGTTCCCTGTGAGGGTGGTGAGGCCCTGGCACAGGTTGTCCAGAGAAGCTGTGGCTGCCCCTGGATCCCTGGAAATGTCCAAGGCCAGGTTGGACAGGGCTTGGAGCAACCTGGGCTAGTGGAAGGTGTCCCTGCCCATGGCAGGGGGTGGCACTGGATGAGCTTTAAGGTCCCTTCCAACCCAAACCATTGTATGATTCTCATTTTAGGGCTGCCCTGATGGCAGCCAGTGAACAATGTGATGTGGGCAGAGGCAAGAGCCCCAACCTCTGTTGTTTTCACATTTTCCATGGGAAAATATCCCTTTTCCAGGTGGAGGGCAGGTAATTTGCTTGCAGAAGCTTTTGTATGACTGGTAGCTGTTGGACTTTGTAGGTCAGACTCTGACAAAGAAAGTTTTAGCAGTTTCCCAAAATTAAAGGAAAGGGTTTTTTAGGAACTTGGAGCACAGAGTCATGCACCCAGAGGGAAGCACAGGCACTCGAGGTGCCTTAGCTAATGCTTCCTCATTAGAGGAAACTAAAGATACCTGGGCATGTTTTTTTGAGTAATAATAATAATAATAATAAAAATAATAATAATAAAAGACAACCCCACAAGCTTTTTGGATCAGTTCTTTCTGCAGCAAACCTGGAAGTGGATCTGCACCTCTCTTCTCACTTGTATTTCTCCTGCAGAGTACAACAAGCAAACAGCATTTTTTGTATCTCCTTAACTACATGTATCCATCCCCAGCCTTGGAGTGGAGGGGGAGGAGAAAGGGAGCTGCCAGCAGCTCCCAGTGATTGATTTGTCTCTTGTTGTGGTTTTTTTTGTTTGTTTGGTTTTTTTGTTGTTGCTTTGGGGTCTTTGATTTTTTTTTTGTGTTTTTTTTTCTTTGTTTGGGTTTTTTTTGTGTTGTGCTGGAACCCTTGCTAGAAATTCAAGCTCCCGTGAATTGTCAGTGGGTATTTCGACATGAAATGGGCTGTTTTATCCATAACATTTATTTGGGAAGTGGTCTTTTCAGCTCGAGCTTGCAGCCCTTAGAAGAGAAACGTATTTCCCCCGAAGCCATTTGCTGCAATAATTGTTCCCGTGTGTGAAAGTGTCACTGTTGCTGTCACGGGGGACAGTTTGCATGTGCACAAAGGTGAAAGTGCTGCACTTCCCCCCTTCATAGAATCATAGAATCATAGAATCACAGAATCAGCTGGGTTGGAAAGGACCTCCGAGATCATCAAGTCCAACCCTGGATCCAACCCCGCTGTGGTTCCCAGCCCATGGCACTGATGCCACATGAAGTCTCTTTTTAAAAATCTCCAGGGATGGAGAATCCACCACTTCCCTGGGCAGCCCATTCCAATGTCTGACCACCCTCTCTGGAAAGAAATTCTTTCTAATATCCAACCTAAACCTCCCCTGGCACAACTTGAGACCGAGCCCTCTTGTCTTGCTGATGGTTACCTGGGAAAAGAGACCAACCCCCAGCTGGCTCCCCCCTCCTGTCAGGGAGTTGTAGAGAGTGAGGAGGTCTCCCCTGAGCCTCCTCTTCTCCAGGCTGAACAGCCCCAGCTCCCTCAGCCTCTCCTCAAGAGGCTTCTTGCTCCAAGAAGTATGGGAAGTGGTCGTGGAAATGGATCGGAGGTCTTTCCCGAACTTGGACCAGCCCTAAAGCAAAGGCTTGACTAATCCCGGGGCTGAGGGCTGTACCGAGCCCAAACAGCGCAGGGTCAGGGGTTAAGCAAACACAGGGATCCAAGGAGAGGGGGAATGTGTGGGGACCGAGGGGTTTTGTCACCCCGGGGGCCCGCACGGGGCAGTCTTTGCTGCCCTCCGCCCTTTTCGCCGGGTTGTCATTCCTCATCAGGAAAAATCCCGTCGGCCGCTCCGAGGGCGCCTCAGTGCCGGCTTTTTAGCAGAGAGGGGGGATTTCTCTCCCACTGTGCAAATCCAGGCGGAATCGCCGGTAATTGGGAGCGCGGGGCCGAACTTTCCCAGCGCTGGGAAGGGCTGGCGCTGCCCTGACACGCTTCCCAGCTCCGCGCCTCCCAGGCCGCTGCCTTCACCCCCCGCTCCCATCCCAAATATCCAAAATAAAACCGTGGGCAGCGAACTCCTGACCTTCCCTTCCCCGCCGATGGAGCCGCAGCGGGACCGCCGGTCTGTTACCTACGGGAGAGAGGGAGGGAGGCAGGGAGAAGGAGGGAGGGAGAGAGGGAGGGAGGAGGGAGAGAGGGAAGAGGCAGGCGGGGAGTTCAGGTTACCGCATCGCCGCCTTCCTTCGCTCCTGGCTCGGGAGGCACCGCCGGTGATGGACCCCTCGCTCGGGATGGGGCACCGGGGGACACCTCACCCGCTGTAGCCGGTGGGAAGAGGAGCCCATCGCCCTCCTGCTGCACGGCCAGAGCCCGGGGGATGCGCTGCAGGAGCCCGAGGTGAGGAGATGCCTCTTCCTTCCCTTGACTCCGGCTCCAGGTAGGACCCGGGACAGGCGATCCCGCTCATCCACGGACGCGCCCCTGGACCAGACTCACCCACTTCGCAAAACACGCCCAGCGCCGCGGATGGGTTGGGAGAGAGATAAGAAGGGTTGGGAGAGAGATAAGAAGGGGCTGCAGGTGTAACACTGCTTGGAAGATCGGGATCCAAGTCCAGAGTTCCCTATCCAGGGACGTCCCTCTCCCGAGCCGAGCAGTGTGTGCAAAGTTCATCCCCTGCTAAGACGGGCAATGAGGGGCACCGTGGTGATTGGCACGAGGGGTAGAACGATTTGATGGTGAGAAGGTACGAGTAAGTAAAAACAATCCAGATTTATCGTGTGTTTTACATGGGGAAAACGTTTTGGCAGCGCCATGTAAAGCCCAGGATCAGTCGGGACAAGTACAGGGCAAATATTGTCCTCGCTGTCCTGCTGAGAGCTTGGATAAAATGCTTCAAAGGAGGAAGATCCAGGAGGTACAGGTAAGTAATTAAAAAAGCAGCCACTGGGCCTGATCCTGCCAAGATTGCTGTGTTTGATCAGCACTTTTAAAGCCAAGGAGTCACCGAGAAAGGATTTGCCAGCAGGAGGGACATGGAGTTGGATTTCTGTTCCTTTGCTTTCTGCCTTAGCCCTGTTAATCAAATGAGGAGCTGGGCACTGTCCCTCCCAGTCAGACTTTGGCACAGGGCTGGAGCAGTGAGGGTACCCTGGATGGCTGTCCCAGGCTCTCTCTGCCCTGAGTGAGAGCCCTGTGGTGCCCAGGAACATTTTCCTCCAAAAGTACCGGGTTGTTTCTTTAACAGGCACATAAATGCAAAGACTTAATTCAACTGTTACATGGACAGCGGAGTGTAAAGTTCCAAACACCTAAAAACGATTGTGCCAAGAGGCAGCAGGAAACAAAAGGGTGCAGAAGAGCACTGGGCTCACCTGCTCCATGAAGGTGCTCCCACAGCTTAAAATGGGGGAAAAAACCATCTGAAAGGGAAGATCCTAACAGGTCCTCATCGTACAGCAGGGCTGAGCAGCACTCAAAGATTTAAAAGTGACATTGGAATATCTTTATTACTAATTTTCCCCATTTTGAATGTTCTTTTTTTTTTGTACATTCTGCATAGTTATCACTTCTCTGCAGTGCTCTCTTAGTTCTTACTTCATGTATCTTGAGTCTGTTTCCAAGGGAGAAGAGTGAGATTCTCATTCTATCTGAAATACTATTTTCAGGGATTTTTTTTCTCTTTCTCATTAAGATGAGACAAACAACATGCAGTGCTGCTTGTAAATGAGGGTGCAAGAAATAACTTCTTTTGGGGACACAGGCACATGGATACAATTTTTGAAGAATGGTGCTTCCATAAACTCAGAATAACTGGACTTTTGGAGCCCTGGCACTGACAGCAAGAGCCTAAAGAAGAAACTTCCTGGTTGCTTTTTTTATAAAGATGAGAGGGTGTGTGTGAGTGGGATTTTATTCCTGTTCAGCACAATGAACCACACGGGTTTACACGGGGTCAGGTTGCTCTGATTCATCCTCTTGTGGACAATTGCTTATCTGCGGTGAGATCTGGAGTTAGAACAAGTAGAATCTGGAATCTAGCAAGTAGAATAGTAATTGGAGGAAAATTACTGATTCATAAGGCAATTCTGAAATAAGTTAAATATGCCCATCAGCATCAGCAACAAAGAGAAAATGGGGGTGCCACAGAAATAGAGGGAGCATTAGAAGAAGAGGGTCTATTAGCATTGAAGACAAATCCAGAAAGGGATGTTTGGCTCACATCAGGTGAAGGGAGGACAGAGGCAGGAGGAGGAAGCTTTTAGGCTGAATGTTTGGAAAAAATTACTACTGAGATGAGGAAGGGTCCTTCTGGGAGAACAAGGAGGGAGTGCCCCAGGGGTGCTGCTGTTTTCTCTGCCTGTGAGGGAGGATGCCCTTTGCTGGCTGCCTGCCAGCTGGGTTTGGATCACCTGTGGAAGTGGATTAAGTTAAAACTGTCTAAATATACTCCCAAAAAGGACAGAAAGCACCTGCACTGGGGCTGGACTGTAATGGTTGTCCCGTACAGTGCCTCCACATTGATGGTTTGAACTCTGCAGCATCTTTCTCCATCCTGGAGAAAAGGGTTCTGACCTTATTAACTACTACCCAAATTGACATTTGGGTGGGTGTTTTAGGGCCAGGATTCATCCAGAGAATTTTTCGGGCAGCTCAGGAAAGCCAAATGATGTTTTAAAATAGAAGTAAGCTTTCCTGACTTGGCTAAAGTCCCTGGAAATATATTTCTTTTTTACTCCTCAGATGCAGCACTTCTTTCCTGTGACATTACCAGAGCAGCTACACCTCCTGCCAAACTTTCTTTCTCTGGTTTTGAGGGCAAAATTGCATTTTGGTCTGAGGATGCTTTTTGGCTTTTCCAAAACCAAATGTTACGAGCCAGTGGTCATGGTTGAGTGGATGAGTTCAAGGTGCGTTAAGACCTAATGATGGTTTTTTTTAATAGAGAGGAAGATGCATCCTCTGGTTCAAAAGATCCCTGTACCACCAAACCTTCCCTCTTGCCATGATCTTTATTCTCCTTTAGGCATCAGCCATCTGGGTTGTCTCAGAGGCAGAACCCAGAGACCACATGGCATTGCATCCACTTGGGAATTGAAATCTCCACGCCTTGACGTGACACTTTGGTGTTTGAACTGATGAGACCTGCAGATATTTATTCTCTCCTTGTGAGAATAAAGATGCACCTCGTTAATGGGTGGTTGCTGCCTGCAGAGCTGTTCCTGTGCCTGGGCTCTGGGAGGGCTGCCCTGCTGAGGTCGTGTTTATACAATATGCTGGTGCTGTGGTTAACCACCAGCACACCACCATCTGTGGCACAGAAAACATGATTCACAGGAGGAAATAGGGGGAATTTGCCTTTGAGGGGGTAAGGTTAAGGAATTACAGCAGGTCAGGTGGCTCCTCTGAAAACTGTCTCATGATGGAAGGGCATGGAGGTGAAACTTCCAGGGATTCTTACTCGGTTTACTGAATTTTAACCATTTTATATTATAATGTCTCTTTTTTGGACCATGTTTTTTTCTTTGATTGCTGCAAAAAATGTTTCTTTCCTTCTTATCATAACTGTACCAGTGTTCAGGCTGCATTGCCCATACTGCTAAGAATACAGTGGTATGCACATATCTGTATATATCTCATAATTTATATATGCATGGCATTTCACTGGGATTAATATTAATCTAGAATTTAACATATCACTGTATTATTTTTTCTCTGGAAAATTCAAAAACTTGACTCGTTTCTACTCTTTCAAAACTTCACTCGTTTCTACTCTTCATCTTTTTTCTTTTAATTATCTTTTATTCTTGCCTTATTAAAATCCAAAAAGGTAAATAAAACCAGGCCAATGTTTTACAGAGAAGATTCAATCTGCTGTTGGAGTCACAGGGTCAATCAGCTAAATGGGTATTAGTAACATAATGACAGAACATAAGCCAGGCAACGTAGTAGGATTTGAAAATCCATAACAGTAATTCTCCTTTTCTATTTGTTGTCTAATTGATGGCTTAGGGTTTGGAGATGGGAACTCCTGCTCTGGGTCTGTGACAGCTCCCTGGCCATAAAACATTGTGGCCCTTCTGGAGAGCCAGAGGTTTATTTTAAGCATGAAAAGCCCCTCTCTCCACACACACACCACCAAGGCAAGCCTGGGGAGAAACTGGGAAAGCTAAACCCTCACTGCAGCAGCATTGCAAAAATAAAATGACAAAAAAACCCCCAAAAATAATCAAGAACAAAAAAAAAAAAAAAAGGGAAAAAAAAAAAAAGGCAAAAAAAGAAAGGGGAAAAAACCAGCCAGGGAGAGGATTTGTCTGCAAATAACATGTTCAGCAACTCAGTGCTTAAGTGATGGAAGCAGAGGAACAATATCTTACTCTGTCTTGCTGATGGGCTGACAAGGAGAGGTTGGTGAGAGGTATCAGAGTGGAAAAGGTTTTCCATAGTCTGACAGTAAGGGCAGCAGTAAAAGTTCTTCCCTTGTCCTGTACCCTTTTTGGGTTTCCACCCTCCTTTCCTGCCAGCCTCGACAATTTGGGCGAGGACACCGTTAATACACTTTGCTGTAAAAACCTCCCCCTGAAAAGCAGCATTTTCCCATAAAAATGGTGGCCCAGCCACTGCTGAACCCACTGCCTTGCCAGAGACATCATCTTTGAGAGCTCCAAGTTGGCCCCTGCTCCTCTGAAACATTTGCATGTAGGAAAAGAGAAATGTTTCCCACTGCATTTGACATTTTCTTATTATCTGTGTGTGCTTAATCCCTCCTTGTGTCCTGCTGAGCTTATGAGAAAGCAATTTAGGGGCTTTATTCCAAGGAAAATCTGGAGTTAGCAGCTATTACTAGTACTTACACCAGGACACATGTTACTTTCGATGACTGGGAAAGGAAAATGGGAATAAAACTGCTGACTTTAACTGTGCAGTATTTGGGGTTGTAAGTCCAGTTTAGGCACTTCAGTTGTGCCTCTCCTTTTGAGTCTTCCTTGTCACAGCTGCTTGAGCCTTTTTACAAAGTGGGGACTCTTTGCAGATTCCCAAAAGCACTGTGGTCATTTGTGGTTTGGGTCGTTCCCTTATGTGTGACACCTCAATGCAAAGACAGCACCAACCCTGCACTGGACTCAGTGGCACAACTGGAGCTTTGCCCCAGAAAACTTAAGAAAACTGCATTTCTTTAAATTGATATTTTAAATCTGTTTCCCCGGGGGACTCTAGACCTCCTTACCTCCCTCTGCCTCAGGCCAGATTGCTTTTCCTGCACTATGTGACAGACAGTCTTGATCTCTCGGTGCCGTTCAGATAATTACACTCATTAACAGGCCTGAAGGAGGTGTCAGATTAATTTTGGTGGAATAACTAGGCTTTGTCAAAGGACTTACCATGGCCTTACCACTGTGAAACATGAAGGAGTTCCACGAGGGTCAGTGGTGTGAGCAGAGAGATCCCAGAGCCGACCTGCTCAACTTGGCAGAACTCAGGAGGAAGTTTGTGCCACTCATGGATGTGGGAACTTCCAAAGTAGAGAGGGCTGTGGTTTGACTGATTTGGATCACAGACCTTGACTACCTTCTTCATAGAACCACAGGAATGGTTTGGGTTGGAAGGGACCTTAAAGATCATCCAGTTCCGCCCCCTGTCATGGGCAGGGACACCTTCCATTAGACCAGGTTCCTCCAAGCCCTGTCCAACCTGGCCTTGGACACTTCCAGGGATCCAGGGGCAGCCACAGCTTCTCTGGGCAACCTGGGCCAGGGCCTCACCACCCTCACAGATAAGAATTTCCTCTTCACATCTGGTGTGTTTTGAGGTGCAAAATTCACTTCCCAAAGCCGAGGTACGAGTTTGACCCTCGCTGTGGCTGGAGGTAGGAAAAGCATGGGAATGCTGGGGATTCCAAGGGACTGATGGAATACCCTGGGCTGGCTCAGCTACACACAGAAAAGTTTTGTTACCTGCCCAGAACTGTGCTCTGGCCTGGCTTTGGGGAGCAGGGGCTGAGAGGAAGAGGTTGGAAAGTGTCAAACCTGGTTTATATTTGTCACATCCAACGGTGAAAGGTTTTGTGCCTTTAGTGCAGCAGATTTTGTTCAATGTAAAAAATCTGATGCCTAATTTATGAAGAACAATTTTTTGACAAACCTGTAGCCCCACACTTTTAAATTGTTTTCTGGGACCTTTTATTATTCTACCTATTCAATCAGAAAAGATGCTTAGAATGTCAACCCCAGCTCCAGAATCCTTTGGTTATTCAGATGAGATAAGCCTTGTCTGTCTACAGGTCAGAAAGTACTTACATGTTGTTCTCTATCAAATCTCATAGTCCCTTTTAAAGTTCATAAATGAGCATTAATACAGGTCACTGAAATGAAAACATTAACGAACAGAGAGCATTTTCCTACTTTTTCAGTACCTTGCAGAAAAAAAATAAATTAGAGATTAAGAAAACTTAAGAAAATATATATTTTAAAAGGAGGCAAGGAAACTAGTGGCAGTTTAATCCAGTAGGATCTCACTTGGTCCAGGTTGCTTTGTAGGAATTCAGTGGGTTTTCTTCTTCAGAGTTTTGTAAGAACTCCTCTTACATTTTTAGCTCTATTGTATGAACTATTGCATAAACTTATTTTACAAGACTGTTATTTCCTCAAAGCTTTTAAAACACATTGTGAGAGAAAAGCAAAAATGCAATCCTACTGCAGACAAAAGAGGAGGAGGAGGATGGAAAGATGAGATGAAGGAGGAGGAAAGTTCCCAGGAAACAAATGACAGGATGAGAGAAAAATAGCATCAAGTTGAGCCAGGGGAGTTTAAGGTCGAATATCAGCAAAACTTTCTTCGCCTAAAAGGTTGTCCAGCCCTGGCACAGCTACCCAGGGCAGTGGTGGAGTCCCCATCCCTGGAGGGATTTAACAGACATGTAGATGTGGCACTTGGGGACATGGGTTAGTGGTGGCCTTGGCAGTGCTGGGGAAATGGTTGGACTTGTTGATCTTGGAGGTTTTTCCCAACCTTAAGGATTCTGTGACTCTGTGATTCTCTAAACCCGCTCTCCTTCAGCTTGAGGCCATTGCCCCTTATCCTGTCACTCCATGTGCTTGTCCAGAGTCCCTCTCCAGCTTTCTTGGAACTGCTTTAGATACTGGAAGGGGCTCTAAGGTGTCCACAGACCCTTTTTTCTCCTCCAGACTGAACAACCCCAGCCTGTCTCTGCAGCAGAGATGCTCCATCCCTCTGAGAATCTCTGTGGCCTCATCTGACTTGCTCCAACAGGTCCATGTCCTTCTTGCACTGGAGACCTCAGAGCTGGATGAAACAAAATTGGGGTGTAGTGAGAGCAGAGCCTTTTTTTCATGTGTTCGTTTCAGGTGTGTGCCAGAGGAGCTCTGGGCTGCAGATTTTGATGGCCCCCATTGTTTGCACCCCAAGGTTCCATGCAAATCATGTTTGGATCTGCACAGAGCCATGGAACACCCCACCAGTTCAGTTTTAGCAAAGTCTCTAGGACACGAAACAGGCAATTTTTTTGGCAGTGCCCTTTGTAAAATATTTTGCGGCTGGAACAAACGGGAGATGTAAAAGGCTTTGAGATAATTAAAATATGTGATTTCTGGCTCACATCAGAGAGAAAAATCAAGTATAACATCTTGCAAAAGGACTTCCTATAAAACCAGAAATATTTGTTTTGATGCAAAACGACTGGATGTTGTTCAAAATGACCTCTAGAACAGACATTGGTTCAAATTCAGTTGGGAAGCTGCTTTGCAAGGAGAGGAACAGGCTCCCTGAATCCATAACATTTCAACCTGAACTCACTTGCTCCTCAGCAGAGATTTAAGCAAAATGCTTATGGATGGGCAGAAGGAGGGATGTGATTTGAGGGAGTCTACACAGAACACTCCTGGTCAGAAGGCAGAGATCAAATTTCCATGAAACCTACAGCTCTAGGGATTGTGAACTTGTGTTTTCAGATGGGAAGACAGGTACAATTCTTTAAGAAGGGGGAAGGTGGAAATTGCCCTATCCTACTGCTCTGAAATAGTGGTTGGTGGGCCTGGGGGTTACTGGGGGGAGTAACTGATGCATTAAACTCTTCTCACCAGGTTAATTTATGGAGATGTGCAATATTTTTGTCACCGTGACCTTTTTGGGTTTGCTTTGACAATTTTTCTCTCTCTGAAAATTTAGGTTTGTAACCTGATGTGCAGCACATTAATCTGTTTACAAGGATAAATGAGTGAACATTGTTATTGTTTGGATCTTTTTCATGTAAAAAGGAGAGGGGGACAGAACATCCCCCTTCTCACCTCAGCATGCCCTAGTGAGTCACTTAAACTCTGCACAAGCTGAACCATCCAAACAATGTGACCCACTGCTGGTTTTTTTTTCTTTTCTTTTTCTGAGCAGCTGACCCAGCTTCAAAGATGTGACTCATGGCACCTCCAGCACAAAGATCAGGAGCAGTTTCTGGGTTGATGCAAGAGCCCCACAGGACACAAGGAAGATGAGGAGGGGAGGAACCTGGCTGGGTCTGCCCCTGGGACACCTACTGGCTCTGGGACACAGGCACAAATGGAGAACCATGGTATTTAAAAAAACCCTCCTGTTGTTATTCTCTGTCACCTGATATGGACACATATCTGCTGCTTCTCCACTTGGGCTTGGTGGGTCTAAATCATGGTTTGTGAGACGCCGAAAATGGGGAGGAGGTTTGAAGCATCAGCCAAGGTAACCTGGATGTGCTTGTGTGGATTTCTGAAGATACAGTGGCTTAGGGGGAAGACCAAAGTAAACAGGAGTGTGAACTTGATGGCCAGCAGAACATCTTGTGGGGGTGGCATGAGGAGAAATGAGTGTGGGTGACTGCCCCAAAACAGGCAGCTTCCAATTAGAGATGCCCTGGCTTTGAATCCCTATGCAGGGGGTTTGGTGCACAGCACTGAAAGGAGATAGTTATCACTGAAAGGAACTAGATATTATTGTTATTAATGTACTGTTCCTTCTTCTTTCAGATGGATTTCAGAAAGTTCAGGCTGGTTTTTTGCCTCCTCGGGCTCAGCTGTGGCAGCTTCTGGTTTTTTTACAACTGGACCGAGTTCTGCGTGTTCTGTGAAAACAGCCAAGGTTACCTGTTCCCCACAGAGCCTTTCAGGAGGATTGAAGGAAACTTCTCCCAGCTCCCAGACATAGACTGCCACAAGAACCCTCCTTTCCTCGTCCTGCTTGTGGCATCCTCGTGCCAGCACCGGGATGCCAGGATGGCCATCCGGCAGACCTGGGGCAAGGAGAGGACGGTCGCCGGGAAGCGCCTGGTGACGTATTTCCTCCTGGGAAGCACTGTGGATCCCAGCCAGCAGGCTGACATCGCTGCTGAGGCCCAAAAGTACGGAGACATCATCCAAAAGAACTTCACAGACACTTACTACAACCTGACTCTGAAGACCATGATGGGAATGGAGTGGGTTCACAGGTTTTGTTCCCAGTCCAGCTTTGTGATGAAAACAGACACAGACGTGTTTGTCAATGTTTTTTACCTCACTGAGCTGCTTCTAAGGAAGGAGAAGGCCACTGGGTTCTTCACAGGCTTTTTAAAACTGCATGAGTACCCCATAAGGAGAAGAGGGAGCAAGTGGTATGTAAGTAGGAAAGAGTATCCAGGAAAGACCTACCCACCCTTCTGTTCTGGGACTGGATATGTTTTATCCAGTGACGTTGCCAGTCAGATCTATCATGTTTCTGAGAGCGTATCGTTCATTAAGCTGGAGGATGTGTTCATAGGACTGTGCCTTGCCAAATTAAAAATTAGGCTGGAGGAGCTCCACTCAGAGCAGACGTTTTTCCCAGAAAGGATCAGGTTCTCCGTTTCCCGCTTTAAGAAAATCGTGATGTGCCACGAAGTGGAACCACCCGAGCAGCTGAGCTACTGGAACCACTTGGTGGCAGAAAACCGTGGAGAGGTGCTCTAGCAACTCCCCTGCTGGAATTAACACACTGAAATGCTCTGCTTTTACAGGGCTACTCTTGACCCCGGCAAAACTCCCAATTAACTCCAGGTCCAGCACGTTAGAGACTTTTTAAATGGTTATTTTAATCACAGAATTATTAAGGTTGGAAGAGACCTCCAAGATCATCAAATCCCCCCTTGGACCTTATCAACTAAACCATTGTGCTGAGTGCCATATCCAGTCATTCCTTGAACACCTCCAGGGATGGGGACTACACCACGTCCCTGGGCAGTCCCTTCCAAGGTCTGACCACCCTTTCCAGGAAGAAATTCTCAGTTTCTGCACAAGAACATGCAAATCCCTTTCTCTCCCCTTCACTCCATTGCATCCCTTCTCTACACAATTATTATTTTCTGGGAGATCCAGGCCTGCAGCCCTGCCCTCCAAATCCTGCTGCTGAAGGACTGGGAACATTCCTGCAGTGCTAAACTGAAGTCAAAGCACTTTTTGTTCAGAGACTAAAATTTGCACCATCCTCCTGGTGGCCCCTGGTAGATTCCTGCACCCATCTGTGCAGGTATTTAAGGGATGATATTTGGAGCTGTCAGGATGCTCCTCTCCTGGCAGAGGGAACTGCAGCCCTGCCCTTGCAGCGGGCTCTGTGTGGGCAGAGCTGCATCCTGGCACGGATCCCTCCTTCAGTCTCCACACAGGGTTTTTTTTGCAGAGATGGAAGAATTTTCCCATGCAATCCTCTTGGGACAGCCTTGGGGACTGCAGGTCACCTGGTGAACGTGTAAAGCTGCTTCATCTGTTCCCTTGGATGTGTCTCCTGCTGAAAATACCTGTGGTGGAGCCAGTGGAGGGTGTCCTGCTCTTTTGATTAAAATAGACCCCAGAGACATCTTTTATATTTGTGGTTCACTTTGATTACCTGAAAGCTTCTGTAAATGGTTTCCCAAAGCTAAACTAGAGTCACTTAGGGTGATTTAGACATTTTTTTGCTGTGAGAAACTGGGTGCGTGAGGGAGAAGATGGGAGGATTTTTGTCTTTTAAACAAGACCCAGTGGGATAATGTGCTCAAGTGATCCCTCAGGCTGGGAGCCCTGTTTTTCCTTTCATTCCCAAGCAAAGATCATGAAATCTCTGGGATGTTTGTAGATTCCAGAGGCAAAGAATTGAGTCTTTACAGTAGAAGATGCGAAAAATACTTTTGGGCTGTGAGGAGGGAGAAAGGAGTTCCTAAATCCTGCCTTATGCTCCTCTTTTGATTTTCTTTCTCACACAGGAAAGGTCAGTTTTATCAGCAAAGAAGTAGCAAATGCCTGTAATATGTGTGAAACGTTTTTTTTTTTTTCAGAGAGCATAAAAGTGGAGCTGTTCCCAAGGGGAAAATGGTCTGGGAGTTGAGAGGATTTGACACCTAGAAAGGCTCATCCACACACACCCACACGAGGGAGCAGGAGGAAAGACAGGGAAAGAGATTTTATTACTTTATTTTTATTGTTTCTTTTTATTTTTATGGGTGTTGGACTTTTCAGGTGTCTCTTTTTACTTACCTGTGTCTGAAGAGCAGGACAAATATTTTCAGCAGGAATATGCCCCAATCTGAAAAGTGTTTAGTAACAGTCATAATATATTATTTATTTTCTTCTGGTGTGGAGTAACCTGAGCTCATGCACTGATTTTTGACCACTGATGATGAAAAAAATATATTTATTTGTTTGGCAGAAGAATAACCTTCTTCATTTTAATCTTCTTTATTAAACTTTAAATATTTTATTAAAATAAATGAAATATTTAAACAGCTCAGTTTTATTTAAAATTCAGCTATTTTCTGAATACTTTTGCTGCTGGTGAGATGGGTCAGGCTTTTTAATCCCTATTCTTTCCATGTAACCTGCAGAAATGTCTTTTGCCATTCATTGCCCTTCTGCCGAAGGTGCAACCAGGCTATTCCTTGAATTTATGGAAAAATGGTGAGCAAAAGGAATGTTTCCTGGTCTTTCCTAACTCCCTGTCTTGTGGGATGGAGGGTCTGTGAGCTGGGACAGCATAATCAGCCCAATGTCATCTTGGCCTCTTCTTGCTCTCAGACAATAATATAATAATAAATAATAATAATAATAATATAATAATCCTGCAATTGCTTGTAGGTCTCACTTCCAGCTCTGTGCCTGGTGCCAGTTTTGTCCCAGCTGGCAGGACCAGTCCAGCTGTGCAATCCAAGGGATCTTTATCTCCATTTGCATTTGGGTGTGTTGAACTGTTCACCTCCACGGGGTGTTGACATCCAAGAACTGTGGTGGCTCCTGCAGCTTCTGCTCTTCCCTCAGGCTGAGGCTGTGGGAGAGGGTAAAGTTTCCCTTCAGGAGACAGAATGTTGGGCTGTTTCCCTGGACTATGGCTGCTTGTGAGTGGCACTAAGATATGTCCCACCCGAGCAGTTTGGGGCTTTGTGTCAGCATAAAAAAAGTTACCTCTGAGGGCCAAGTTCTGCTCGACCTCTTGGCTGTGGCTTTTACTTTAGTTCAGGAGTGTTCCTAATTATTTGGATACAGCCACTAACTGGGAAGATGGTGCTATTCTCTCTTAATCACTTTTGCAGACTCTACCACTACATCTTTGGGGCTAAATTCAAGTGCAAGATGTCCCTGCCCACAGCAGGGGGCTGGAAACAGATGATATTTATGGTCCCTTCCAACCCAAACTGTTCTGTGATTCTATGAAATTCAGCTGCTCTGCTGAGAAATGAGGTCCTCAGGAATGGTCTAAGAAACCATCCCATTCTGGATCTTGTTTCCAGGGAGTCTATTTGTCATTTCAAGTGACCTGTGCAAGATGCCTCTGTTGCTGCCTTCCAAATACTTTGTCCCCACTGATTATATGTTGCTAAGCCTCTGATGGTCTATCTATAAGCATTTTGCTTAAATCTTAATCTCTTAAATGAGTTCAGGTTGAAATGTTATGGATTCAAGGAGCCTGTTCCTCTCTTTGCAAAGCAGTTTCCCAACTGAATTTGGTTGGGAACTGGCTGGTTTAGAACTGATTTTGGTTGCTGCACATAATTTTTCTCAAGCTCTGATTTTCTCTGTGCTCACATCAGTTAGAAACTGATTTGGTAATTTGTAGAATCATAGAATTGTTTAGGTTGGAAAAGATCTCCAAGATCATCCAGTCCAACCATCAACCCAAGACTGCCAGGTCCACCCCTAACCCATGTCCCTTAACACCACATCTACACTTTTTTTTTTCAACACCTCCGGGGACAGTGATTCCACCACTTCCTTGGGCAGCCTGTTCCAATGCTTGACCACCCTTCTTATGAAGAAATTTTTCCTAAAGTCCAAGCTAAACCTCCCCTGGTGCAACTTGAGGCTGTTTCCTCTTGTCCTGTCACTTGTTACCTGGGAGAAAAGACCAATCCCCACCTTGTCACGACCCCCTGAGCCTCTTTTTCTCCAGAGTAAACCCCCCCAGGTCCCTGGGTTGCTTTAAATAAAAATATATTAAATTAATAATAATTAGTCCTGCTGGAAAAGGTGATTTAAGAAAAGTAAATGATTGCATGTAAGGCAAATTCATTTATTTAAACAAAACCACTGAGCTAGTGACTTTATATGTATCAGCTAAATGAAATTAGCTTTTGCAGCTTAGGCCTCAGATCATGAATTTTAACACAATCAAAACAGTATTAGTGGCCTTTTGCTAAATTCTATATATTTTCCTATGAAATACCATCACAAAATGAACAGAAATATAACTAGGACTGTAAACACAATACTGCAGTGTACATAGGCTTGTTTTTTAAATTTTGTATGGGCTAATAAAAGAATTTAGGCTATTTGGGGGCAGTTTGTCTGTGAAAGCAGAGCCCTCCCCTAACATTTTTATGCTTTCTGGGTCAGAAGATCATTACATCATTTTTTTATGAATAGCTATGAAAAGGTCAGCTAAAAGTTACTCCATTGCTTCTCATTTAAATGGGGAGGAGTGAAGAATAACAGAGCTGACACAGAGTTGGTTAAAATTGTGTATCTTAACACTCTATTTCTTCCAAGATCATTTTTTGAATACAGAAAAATTAATGTTCGGTTGGGTTTTTTTTTCCCCCACAACTTTCATCAACCAACATATTCTTAGTTTAGAGTGTAGCATTGTCCAAAATGTGCAGGAAGGATTTGGTCTCTCAACTCCTCTGGTTCAGCCTTACCCAGGAGGTACAACCCTGCCAGGCACTTCTGGGAACACAGGGGAGGTTTTTGTAATGAAACTTTTGCCTTCTCTCAGAGTTGAACAGAACACAAGAACTGCACTGGATCTGCCAGGAATGCTGCTCCTTTTGGATTTGTGCAGGTCACTGTATGATGTTGACATAAAACATGTGAGAATGTTTGCATTATTGGCATTGAACATGGGAATGTTGAGCTATTCCATGGATGATATTTTAGTAAAGTATTTTGTTACCACAGTTTTGTGTGTTCACTCATCTTTCTGGTTGTGACTGTATTAATATTTCGGGATGTGGTCAAGTTAAGCAAGGGGCTTGCTCTCTTTCCAATCAAAATTAATAGAATCGTGGAATCATTTAGGTCAGAAAAGACCTTTAAGATCATTGAGTCCAACCACTAACCCAACACTGCCAAGGCCACCACTGAACCATGTCCCCAAGTGCCACATCTACATGGCTTTTAAATCCCTCCAGGGATGGCGGCTCCACCTTTTCCCTGGGCAGCCTGTCCCAATGCTTGACAACCCTCCCCATGAAGAAATTCTTCCTAATATCCAGTGTAAACCTCCCCTGGCTCAAATTGATGACATTTCATCCTGTCACTTGTTGTCTGAGAGAAGAGACTGACCCCCCCCCAGCTCCCCCCTCCAACCCTTGATCCAACACTGCCATGGTTCCCAGCCCATGGCACTGATGCCACATCCAGTCTCACCTTAAAAACCTCCAGGGACGGTGAACCCACCACTTCCATGGGCAGCCCATTCCAATGGTTGATTAGCCTCTCTGGAAAGAATTTCTTCCTAATATCCAACCTAAACCTCCCCTGGCACAACTTGAGACCCAGCCCTCTTGTCTTGCTGATGGTTGCCTGGGAAAAGAGACCAACCCCCACCTGGCTCCCCCCTCCTGTCAGGGAGTTGTAGAGAGTGAGGAGGTCTCCCCTGAGCCTCCTCTTCTCCAGGCTGAGCCCCCCCAGCTCCCTCAGCCTCTCCTCACAGCACTTGTGCTCCAGTCCCTTCCCCAGCCTCATTGCTCTCCTCTGGACCTGCTCCAGCCCCTCAATGTCCTTCCTGAACTGAGGGCCCAGAACTGGACACAGCACTCCAGGGGTGGCCTCACCAGCGCTGAGTCCAGGGAAAGAATCACTTCCCTTCTCCTGCTACCACACTGTTCCTGATCCAGGCCAGGATCCACTGGCCTTCTTGGCCACCTGGGCACACTCTGGCTCCTGTTCAGCTTCCTGTCAATCCAAACTCTCAGGTCCCTTTCTGCCTGGCTGAAGGTCCCCCCTGAGCCTCCTTGTCTCCAGGTTGAGCCCCCCCAGCTCCCTCAACCTCTCCTGCTGCTCCAACCCCTTCCCAGCTCTGCTCCCTTCCCTGCACACGCTCCAGCCCCTCCATGTCTCTCTTCCATGAGGTTCCAGAAACGGACACAGCCCTGGAGGTTCCTCAGCAGTGCCAGCACAGGGAGACAATCCCTGCCCTGGGGCTGTGCCCACACTATCCCTGATCCAAACCAGGTTCCATTGGCCTCTTGCCCCCCTGGGCACACCCGGGCTCATGTTCATTCCCCGTCACCAGCACCCCCAGGGCCTTTCCCACCAGGCACTTTCCCCTGGAGCTGCAGGGGGTTGTTGTGACCCAAGGGCAGGACCCGGCACTCGCCCTGGTTGGATCTGAGTCTGAAACTGTTGAATTTTCTCCCCTTCTCAAAAAATACCTCAGGGAATATCTATGGAATTGAACAAAGAAAATAAATTAAATTTAGCCACAGCTGATACCTTTTGGAAGAACAAGATCCAGCCTGAGATGACTTTGCCTGTGTCACCACAGCCAGCACTGCTTGACTGGGGCTGCCTGACATGTTCCTTGGGAGCTGGAAGCACAGTGCTGTTCCCTTATCACTTAAAAAGAGGAAAGGGAAATAACTGAAGGCCATCAGATTGTCTGCTGAACACAGGTAGTTATGAACTAAAACCCACAAATGGAAAAGTTCTCGGTTACTGCCTTTATCTTTTATTTCGTTTTTTTCCTTACCTTGTGATGTATTGTGCTTTTTTGTTTCAAGCTGGAATTCATTGCACCAAAATTCATTATTTTATTACACCAATGCATTTCTAGAAATATCTACAAATATCACAGTGGATAGAGGAAAGAATCTGAGTCACAGGACTTGGGAGATATATACATAGGGGATCCAGCCTGAAAAAACACACTTGAATTTGCACATGTTCTGGCAGAGCAAACGGAGATTTTTCTTTCAAAGCCTGGTTTGATGCTGTTCTTCTAAAAAGTTCACTCAAGTGCATTTTCACTGAAAAATGTAATTGGACAATTTCAATGGATGAGAAACGACGTTTCACAAATTCAGAAATGCGTTATTTTTGTGGGGGGAAAATATAAATCCAAGTGCCTCGTTCGAATGTCTCCAGCTGAACCGTGCACACAACATTCCTTGCATTCAGCTACTGACCTGACCTGACCTCTTTTAATTTATGACTTTGGGTGCAGGGATAGAGTGTAATCAGCTTTCTGTTCCTCAGAAATCACAGCTACAATTACACAATTACAGTTACAAACCGCTGCAGGCACAGAATGTCATAAATTAGTTATGTGGTGTGA